GTTAGAATGGGTAAAGATGGTGGAGAGAGGAGGTATGCCTGACCCCTTCCTCATAGCAATTAGCCTCGGGCTGTTGATCATGAGTCTCCTTCCCCCTCTTGAAGTTAGAGGAGGTAAGACACTGCCCCCATGCCATTTTTACAGACAGTAATAACATAAAGGTGGATAGAAACTATTAACCTACACCTTGAGAGAAAGTACTCTGTACAAGGAACTGTTCAGTTTGATGGTGGTAAAACTTAGCAAAAACCTTAAATCCACTGCCTTTTCACAGACCTTCCAAAATATAAAATTTTGATATTTCCAAGGATCTCTACAGCAATCTTGCCGAAAATGATGTCGATGAATCATGTTCAATAATAAATAGCCTAGAACATTCTGCTATCCAAAATTTCAATTGTCTTTTATAAACAGAGCTTTTAAAAGATATGCTAAAAGTCATGACCTAAGCAGAATAAAACTACTTTTATGAAAAATTAGTCTGAAATTAGGAAATTTTATATTCACAATACTGCCTGAATTCTTACTCACTCAGTTCATGTTTACATTTTAGAACCTACATAAAACACAGTATTCAGATATGTTTTCTTCCAATTCCACTCCGAGTCGGTTTTCCAATGAGCCACCAAGTATAGAGTATTTTTCAGGGAAAGCTACTCATTTCTAAATGTATAATACAATTCTCATTTGACTGCCTCTCAAGGCAGAAGTTAGTGTGATATGATGGCATATACAAGAGGTGATAAGCTGTTTGTTCATACCTACTTCCCCTTTTGTATAGCAGTTGATAGTGAAGGAATAAACTTCAAACCCTGAAAGTGCTAGTTCATTTTCCACAATGTCTTCTCAAATAATTTATCACTGTGTCCTAGAAGAACTTAAAGGAACAATTTCCAAAGAAAATAATAACACCAAAAAACAACAGCATGCTTTGAAAAAAAAATTTTTTAAAACAATTCAAACTAAAACAAAAACTCTCAAACTATTCTCTCCTAAACCACAAACGCTCTTTTGTCCTTAAGTCAAATCCAGCACACTTGACATGAACATAAATGATACGGAAGGGTAGAGAATCTATTCCCCATCACTACCCAACCATATACTAATTTTCTGTATAAATAAAATCTGTCATGATCACCAGCCTAATATCAGCATCAGTCATAATTTACACATACATTAAAAAAAAACCCAAAACCCATTGCCACTGAGTTGATTCCGACTCATAGTGACCCTATAGTACAAACAAAGAAATTAAATCTATTTCAATATTACACTCTTACGTTTACCTCACAGTAATGAACAGGTATGGACACTGGGAGAGATCCAAAGTGTCCATTCACCAGGATGAAAATTCTCATTTACATGGATATAAATGCTTCCAAAGAAAATTACAGAATGACTTAAAAGAGAAGCTACAAGCTTGTAAGGTCCATTACATATTAAACGTAAATAAGTTATACAATTAAGCGAGAAGTCGTAACAGACGGTGAAGGTGGGAGGACTAGCCTGGTGCAGGGAGGAGGATGCTAAGGGTTGACATGACTCCCCTTTCATTCTGACCTACAGACTCAGAAACACTCAAAATGAAAAAGCAGTAAATAATCATATTACTCAAGGTTTTCTGATTATAATTGTTCAGATGGATAGTTTATCTTTAAATTTTTGTTTGAAGGACTAGAAGGCAGAAGGGGACA